AAACAATATTAAAACCAAAATACATCCTTTAAATACCAAATTTAAAATACATTTATACCAAAATAATACTTTTTTAAAATTTTCAAAATAAAAAACACTATTATTAAATCAGTAATTATAATTCAATAGTAATAATATCATTTGCATCGCCAATCTTTTTACTAATTGCTTCTGTTTGACTTATTGTGACGAGAATACGAGTGATGAAATCGACACGAAAAAATACACATTTTTGTGCACTCTTGATTAGATTTTCGCAAAAAACACGATCAACAACCACACAAGCACAAAGCTCTCGAGAGCAACACAGAACGCCGTAGACGTAGGGAAAGATTTCCATCCTCAAAAGTAGGTCAACGGTAAGAGCACATTTGATGAACGACGAACTTTCGATGGAAACACAGATCACGCATCACAGGGGGTAACAGAAGGATGATTCTCTTGAAGCAAGAACGCCTAGAGAAAAAAATGTAGAAACATAGAAGTCGCACAGCGGCAAATTCATCTAAAGTGCGTAACATTTTATCCGTATAATCCTTGGGGTATCATCTTTTTTAGATAATCCATTTGAAGGCGGCATCCTACCGGCTTTCTGAAATGTATTATCTCATACATTATTTGTGTTGTGCAGCCGGGGCAACAGGAATGAGACAAATTTTGGAATATAAAGTGGTGTAGGTTTATTTTAGCATCCATCTCACAAGCGTTCTCCTCGTAGAGCAGAAGCCCTACTTATACATATGTGTGCGTCACGAGGCTCCTCCAATCAGCGATATTAATTGAAATCACGAGGTGACGCTATCTTCTCATCAGGAGTGTTCTTAAGGACTTTATGTAATATGACAGATTTATGAGTTGGCGATTTGGCGGGCGCCAACAGGTTAATATATTTATACTAAAGAAAGGATTTCGCCAAAATTTAGGAACAGGGATGCAATTTAGGTAGAGAATCGCCAACACATTATTAAGCAATATTATAGAATTTAATTTAATCAATTGATTTAAAATATCATTTTTTCGATTAAAAAAGAAAAGAAGAGCAGATTTATAAAAATACTAAGAATTTAGGCGTAAATATTTGATATGGGTTCCAAAATTACATAAGAAATAAAGTGCAATGAAAAGTAACATTAAATAAAAAATTATTAGTAGAATATTTACAAATAAAATTCAGATCTAATTGTAAGTAATATGTTGATCAAGGTAATGCAAACTTTAAACAATAGCATAAAAGTGTGACATAAGACTCAAGCAAAAATACAAAAACAAAAAACGGTAAATGGTAAATTAACCCAATTCGAGTCTCATTACCGACTCTTCAGGGGAAATTTATATTGATTTTCGAATCCAGCTAATTCCATATCGCGTTTCGTCGAAACAGACAATTGAAACTGTACAGGAAACTCTTTTTCCATACTAACTGAAAAAACTTAGTCAAAAACTTTAGTCTCAATACTCTGTTCCATTTCCCGACGAGTCCGCTTGAAAAAACACATTAAGGTTTAAGAAAAAACTATACATATTGGCCTGGTTAGGCAAATGTACAAAATAAAATAAAGAGCGATTTGCTATTAGTCAAAATAAGATTTTTAGGGAGACTACTAGCTTATAGAAAACTTTGTGAACGAAGTTAAAAAAATTAAAATAAAAAGCGAAGAAGACAATTAAAAGAATTGAATGGGTCTTGCTATGACCAAAAATTAATACAAGGGAAAGAATTTTTTTTAAAAAAACAGACCTGGAACGGTGACATCTTCTTGCACGACCCATGTTAATTCAAAAGGGCGATTGCCTCCAGAAAAGAAAGTAGCCAACCAACTAGGCAGGTTGACGTAAAAGTGAAAGAAATGTCATGATGAAAGAGCCAATGAAACGTGACTGACGGCTAGCATAAACCTGACTCAGTGTGAGGAGGGGTGGCAATATGCTGAAGAATGAAGAAATTGTAATATACGAGGGCAATCCCCAAAAAAAGGTCTCCTATATTTTTAGATATACAAAGAGCCGTTTATTTTCTATAATTGCTACATCACTTTAAAGATTGAAGAATGCTTTATTTTTCAACATAATTGTCATTTCGGTCGATGCATTTTTCTAGACGCTGTGGCAGTTTTACAATGCCCATGTCATACCAGCTTGCCGCCATGCCCTTCAGGAAGCGTTGAGGAGCTTCAGGAGCATCCAGAGTGATCCTCCGATCTTTACGCATGAGTTCCTCAACTTTCGCGATTGTCTCGTCGGCAATTGACGGCCTCCCACTCCTTTCTTCGTCATGAATTTCAGTACGACCGGCTGTAAACTCTCTACACCACTTGCGAACGTTTTTGACATCCATGCACGATTGTCCATACATTTCCGTCAATAGGCGGTGAATTTCAACCTTTTTTTTTTTTTTTTTTTTTTTTTTTTTTTTTTTTTTTTTTTTTTTTTTTTTGTGCGCGAATAACTGCGCACTTCGGATTTGGCGGTAACGTTTATCGGGAGCTCCATTTCGAATGGCTGCCAAAATGGCTGCCAAGACTGAGCATCCGAGCGAAGCGCCTGCGTGCTTATGTGGTAGCGGAGAAAGGCAACCACTCACAACAGTGTTGCCAACAACCGTATTAAAACTTTCTCTACGTCCCCAAAAAATAGGAGACCTTTTTTGGGGGGGATTGCCCTCGTATATCTATATCTATATATATATATTATATATCTATATATATATATATATATAGATATATATACATATATATATAATATAAGTAGAATTCTCAGTTAACCGGAACCCTATAGCAGCTATCCAAATCATAAATTAAAATGACTCATCCTATTAAGTTAATTATGAGTTTTAATTTTTATGTGAAAGTTGAAAGAAAACCTGAAATAGTAAGCCGATGAGGTTGTCATGCACATTTACCTCATTTTATTTAGCATGCCATTATGTAATTATTATAAGAAGTTCCCACACATAATTACAGTAAATATGTATCTTAAAAGTATTGATAGAAAAGCAGTAACTAACGGTAAGTACATTTTTGTTTATTTCAAAATTATTTCTCAGCCATAAATGTGTTTCTTTTCTGAGAACAGATTGAAAATTATAGTGACAATAGAGCTATTTCCTTTTCAGCAAGGAATTTTTCTTTTGTTTACCGTGAGTCGATTACTTTCTATTAGCTTTTGATGTTTCATGAGATGTTTTTCCCCACTTTATGTAATTTTTGCGGGTTTTTTAATTCTGAGCGATATTTGTTCCTGTATGTAAAGTGTTTAGCAAATAAAAAGTAATTTCATCACTCGTTTAAATCACTGTTTCACATTTTGTTAAACGGCTTTACAATTATTTAACACTTTCACTGTAAAACCTCGGTTGGGACAGACAGAAGAAATGAAATTCTGTTACTTGCATTGTATTGGATCTAGAAAGAAATAGGAAATCCTGTTATCTGTCTGCAAGCACAAAATGCGCATCTGGGCTTTCCAGTTATCCGGATTATCAGAAAATGCAGTTAGTTCGGATAATTGAAGTTCTGCTGTACATTTCTAAATTGCAAAGCAAAACAAATGAGAAATTTTAAAATCATGAAGCAAATGTAACAATAGTTATAGAAGTTTCCAGTGGTCATGCAAGATCTTTCGCTTTAATACGAAACTTCTGTTACAAAAATACATTTTTGTTAATGACGAATGCACACGTTTTCATCGCATAAACGCAATCTACGACCCAATAGCTTCCTATATGCAAAATGTTCATGAATGTCGGCTCCGTTTTTTTCTCTTTATAAACGAAGCTGTGGTTAAAGATGAAAACCTTATGCCAAAAATTGTGAGGACCAAAATAATGCGAGGGAAAAGTGTCATTGAACAAGCATTGTGGTAGAAGAAAAACTAAGAGGAAATTATTGCACTTCTAAGACATCGCGGCGTAAAACATCACGATGGAAAGTAAAACAGCCGCAAAACTTCGCTCTTTAATCCATTGTGGTAAAAACATACGGCCCATACAAAACATACATAATGATAACATCGCAAATATGACTTTTGAGATTATAAATTTGTCAAATTTATGTCTGCTGTTGATGAAAATCTGAAAAATGAGTAGAAATTACAGTTAACAGCTTTATTTCCTAACGCAATGTTTTATTCCAGGATGTTTTAGAGCTCTTATGTTTATTCTTTGCTTTCTTTTCTACTACGACGTTTTGTAAGATTTTGTGTTCAACTCGGGTTATTTATTTAGCTGCGTTTTCATCCGCGATATTTTCGGCGAATACCAAAACCTTCTGATCCTTCTAAAATTCATTTCAGAACATTTACTTGTAATTACCAGATATGTCAGTTTCCGGGGAAAAAGTAAGAAAGAACTGATTTCATTCATATTAACTGCTTTCTAATAAAAGGAAACTACAATTTAATTTACTTAGAAAGTCAATTATTTGGTATTTCTAAAATGTCAGGTTACCAAAAATGAGCCTCGTTTTTTATTCTAACATAAATAATTTCATGCATTACTTTCCTTTTACAGCAGGCATGTCCAAAGTTTGGCTGTTACGACGCTTAAATGCCGTTCCCGTCTTAACAAAGGATAATTTTATATTTGATGTAATGTTTTAACTTGAAACAGACACGCGATATGGCATACTATTTTTTAAATCGGTAATATCGTTTTTAAATTAAATAATATAGTAAGTTTAAACCATTCCAAACTGTGCCCTTATAACTTAACTTAGATTCCAAGATTTACTATCTTTATCAAGTATATTTCTTTTAGAACATACAAGTGCTGTCAGTTGGAAACTCGATTCTATAATATGCGTTTCCATTTACTTTCCATTTGCGTCAAATCCTCTACTTAATTAATTTCTTTTAGACTTATAGGTAGTCATAATATTCTTTCCAACTTCAACGGAAATGTGTAACAATAAATAAAGATTCATACATTCATAGATTCAAAGATTCTGTTATTATGCGATGCTCTATTTCCTGAAGGAAAATAACATGCATGTCTCAATGTTTAGGTTCATAAAGAAGTGAAAATTGCTGCCCATGAACCAATGAGATGGAAATATAAATTGTACCCAGCAGATGAAATTGAAAATGCGTCTTTGAACAACTATGTATTTTGTCAACTAAAGGAAGACAGGCTAGTTGGATCATTCGCTGTGACACCACCCGTCGAAGGCCGATATTACTTCAAGGTATAATGTTTTGCTACTATTCAGTCATTATTGTTATTGGTGTTGCTTTCCAATGGCAGGCAGAGAAACACAAGCACATAGAGTACAACACAATGAAACAGAGAATATGAAAGTTCATTAGCCATCTAAATATCCTCTAAGCTGCAGCAGTGGCCGCAGAGATCTCAACTGAAGAGTGTTGAGCATGTCTATAGATGGCGCAAGTCCATATCTTGGGTACTCACATGAACGGGGGAAGGGAGAACCGAAGAATTTCCAAAAGAAAGAAGTGTTTCTCTATTGGTAATGAATTTGTAATTCAAGAGCAAAGGTTTGGCTCAAAGTCTGAAAAAAATTAGGATTTCAGTGTTTTGTTTATATATAATTTTATCGAGTTGTAAGAGATGGGAGTGGTTGAAATCCCAATAACTGCAGCGCTCCTTTAGGCTAAAATATAGGCTTGTTCGTTGCTAGAAACCTCAATATCTGGGGAAATTCACTTCAAAGCTACAGTATACTTTTTTGGAGGAAGGATATCAGTGTATGACTGAGAGTCTGGCATTCGAGATTCTTACAGGATCTGGACTAATCGACTGAGCCAATAGTATTTCCGCCAATATAACTTTTATTAGGTTGATTAACAGTGAGGCCACATAACCGCTCTTACTTTTAACATTTAAAAAGGTAACTCTTTTTGTAATTTAATAATTCATACCCAAATCATAATATCCCCAGACTCAAGCCTGACTTCTGCATTTAACTTTTAAACATGCTCTCAATTTTAATTCATCTTTGATATTTAAACCGGACATATTTTTCTGCGTTCATTGATCTAGAAGTATCTGAGTAACTAGCATATAACAGTGATGATTTATCCTGAAGTTATGTTTCAGACGATAGTTGCTTATACAAGTGCGTTCGGTTTTGCCGATATGCGATGTAAAGACAAACCACTTTTCTCTAGAAATCCCCCTCCCATGAATGCATCCACTCTAAATAATCATCATATATTTCACTTAACAGATTGCATTTATGGTCATCTGGCCAGTATAGAGTGTTTTGTGGAAGAAGCTTCCATGGCAATGGACCTGGCCAAGAAATTTGGCTAAAGTTTCGATATTTGCAATCGCTGTATCTAACAGTAGAAGCGGAATGGAAAGTCTGTCAGTCCGAAGATTTTTATGTGTAATTGGAAAGCGATAAATAAATATACGGTATATTTTGAAATAGTATCTTATGATCCTCTCTATAAAAAAATAATGTGCAGGCCTGCCGACCGCGAAGCTACGCCCAGAAAACTTGAAAAGGGAATGAAAATGTCTGGCATCATATTTTTATGTATAATGAGATGTTGGAGATGGGATTTTATAACATGTTGTTCATTCCTTTTTTCTCAAACAAAAAATTTCTGTTTTTTCCCTCTATCGCTTCCTATCAAATCACTCATACCCTTAAGAAAACCGTCCCTTTGTTCTAGACCTCCTTAAATATAAGGTTTCTCGACAAGTCTGATGGTATGCCTTCCCAGATCCATGTTCATTGGAGTATAAACATATTAAAGATTTACTAAATGATGACTAATGATTCTTTAGCGTTTCGAATTTATTTCCAATTTTAAATCCTGAGATAAAATATGTGATAAAAATATCTCAGTGAATAAATATTCTATGCAATAAAAAAATTTTTTTTCAGGTTTATGCCAAACCTGAAAGGGAAATGAAAGAAGAAACAAATTTGCACAATGTGGTGATATTTTTACTTGATTGCCTTGTGGCAAAAAAGTACATTCAGCCTTATCCACATAATGAAGTACCTTGGGGCCCAACGCAGTGCTTCTATGATTACCGAATGAAAATGGTGAATCAAAGTGGACCAATGATTGTGACATGGGGTGGTAAACGCAAACTCATACTTGAAGTGAAAGACGTCATGCTCATCACCTATCAACTATTAGATGTGGAAGGTATCGAAATGGACTCCAAAGATATCATCAGAAGAGAAGACAAAGAAAATCGTGTAAGCTTCACATTTACGCCCTTGAGAGTTGGTATGTATAAGTTCCTCATCTTCGGTATGCCTAAGCCGAAACAAAAGGGAAAGTGGAGATTACCTCTCATAGCATCATACCTCATTGACTGTAAATTCACTAGACAATTATACGATGAAGATTTCCCTCCTCCTCAGGTGAAGCAGCCAGAAAAAGAAGAGCCCAAACCCGAGCTTGAGAAAAAGGAAAAAAGAAAAATAAAAATTGCTTTCCTTAGGTGAAGCAAAAGGGATGTTAACTTGATATAAAATTGCCTTTGTGCCCTACAAATCCTTCCGTGAGCCTTAATATGGTTGATATGTCTACGTATAGCATCAAGGTGCTTACATGAAACAAATCAATATATTCGAGGAACTGTGATGCCATATTGTTTGAGGGCATACTGTTAACGCACTTAAAATGCGTTCTTCTCCTTCTTGCCTTGAGGTACTTAAAATTGCAGTCCGAAAATAGAAATCAAGGTGCATTGAGGATAAACATCCACTGTCTTTTTTGAAACAACTCCTTCCAGGCTTATTATTTTCAGAATAATACATATTTATAAATACTTGTAGAATTTCTTTTGATATAACATATTCCAAAAGAAAATGCGTGTCTGTGGTTCATAAGGATAATTTTTATTACGCGATGTAAAAATAATATTTTTAGATTACAAAACAAAATGTGAAATATAGTAGATTGCACAAATGCTTTTTTATTAATTTAAGTATCCTAAGAAGAATGATATTAGAAAGGTTTCCAAAGAAAATAGATCTGATATTTTCAGTAGATAAAGGCAGCTTGGGTACTTAGACATAAATATATATATATATATAATATAAGTATCCAATATATATATATATATATATATAAGTATCCAATATATATATATGTAATATATATAAGTATCCAATATATATATACACATATACTTAGATATCCAGTTCTTTTTCTTTCCTTTGCCCTTTTGTTTACAAAATAGAAAAGCAAGGAAAAAAAAAGAGGTGGCATTATTAGCTTTTTTTTATGATGCCATGAAATTCTTTTGTGAGTATTTCTACAAATATTTATTACAGAAATAAAGCTTATACTCAGAAATCTAGGTTTAGCTATGTATTTTGAACCAAAAGTTTTTTTTGTGTGTGTGACTTCAAATTTTCCTTTATTTTAAGCTTCATCCTTTTCTCCCTTTGACTGAAGAAAATTTTTTATATTATTCTAAAATGTTGTTATGTGTTCAGTTCAGCTCTGGAGCTTAATCCATCTTTATCAAAGCTTTGATACAATTGGACTGAACTCGAAGGAAATTGTAATCAAGGGAAAGCAGTACTAATTATTATATTGTTTACTAGTCTTAACCTACCATAGAATGTTTATTATTTCTCATTTGCATATATTCATTCAACTTTTAAAATTTATATATTTTTATAACCACAATCAGTATGTAAGTAAAATGTTTATTTTAATGACACATTTCACTTTTATACAGCAAATGTTGAAGTCAATTGATTCACAAGTGCTGAATTTGTTAGAGAGAGAGAAATTTTAGATTTTATTTTTTAATGCATAAATGTTTGCTTTCCGGTTGTATTTTAGCAATCAATATTTATTTATGAAATTATCTTAAAATGAAATAATCTTAAAGCGAATAAATATCACATGCAGAAAACTTCCCAAAGGTCCTGAAAATGACTTTTTTTTTATTTATTAGATGAACTATTAACTCAAACTAAAGAACCACTACTTTTAAATTATCTGGACTTGTATTTATATGCACCACCACTATCGATGTAAAAGTACCCCATTTATAATCAGAAGCTCGAATATTATTAAAATTAAGCCCTGTGAAACATCTTGGATACACTGATTTTCAAGAAATGGCTGTGATTTAGGCTGCAAATGTTCATCGGTGGATATCACAATAGCCAATGTTTCTCTAAACTCTTTATACACAGTATGAATTACAGCTTTAAAAAAAAAAAAAGTCATCCTGATTTAGATTTCTTTGCTGCAGAGCTTTTAAAAACACAGCAAGTTTTTTCCCCCTGCTAGAATTGCTAAATTGTACCTTTCTGTATTTTTAATTGCAAATATGTGCTTAACTTTCAGTTCACTAAACTCCGAACAGCAGAACTAAACTTACTATTCACTTACGAAATAAACTTTCCAACCGCTCATAAAACTTAATTTTCTATAAATACAAATTTATTGTCGTCTTAAATATATTATTATTCTCATCCGTCAAAAACATATCACTTACATAAATAAAAGTATAAAACTACATTTTTTTCTCATGCTTTAAAAAATGTACTTAATGTAGCTGAATAGTAATTAAACTCTGACTTTAGGTCAGTAATGGCAAAATTTTAAAGGAGATTGATTAAACAGGAAAATGCCTAACTTGATTCTGCTGACTTCTCATCTCGCAGGGAAAAGGGAATAATTCGTTAAGCATTCATTTATTAAAATATCACAGTCCGGTCATATGTAATTTTATGTGTTGAAACACTAAAAGATTTCTAGAAAAGAAAATAGAGGTGAAGCTTTACTCAAACACATATAAAATATTAATGAATGAAAAGCTAGTTGTTACTGAAACAGTTTCATTGTCAAAACCTGTTTTAAAAGCAAATAATTAAGCAGGACAAAAACCGAAAATGTGGAGGAAAAATTACATAAATTTAAATGATGATTACATAATAAAAATTGATACTATTGTTAACTTAGTGCCCCTTGTTAATTTTGGTGTCAAATCTAAATTAAAATAGTAATGGCAACCCAAATCATAGATATAGTTTCAACAAAAAAGTAACTGTTTAATTACATCTAAATTAAATGCAAAAGTTCACAAATAAAAAATAAGGAATTGATTTTACTACATAAATTTCAGATTACACAGCAGAAATAAAGCTGCGTATTTCCTTTTATGTTACCGAAAACAATGCCATCATTTCATGAAACTGAAGCCATATGAATTCCGTTAAGTAAAAATCAAAGTTATGGCGGGCAGTGCGCGCTGACGTTTATTTCGCCAGTGCCGGATCTTTGATTTTTCTGATGTGGGGCAAAAGCTAAAACTGCCGCTCTCACCCATCATTCTTTAGGTTTCTCTAACAAGTTTTAATTTGTTTAATAAATACAGAAATAGGTAGGGTTTCAAGTAAAAACCTAAGCTCTATTTTATACTAAATTCCTTACGTGCCTTTTGTATTGTTTTGTTATAAAGGAAAAAATGCGTACCAAAGTTACATAATTAGAAAATCGTCCCCTCCTAGGAGAACCGCCTTTCTGGTGAGCTTACTTTCGGATTTAATCCTAATCCTAACTCTAATTCTGAAGTGCTTCTAATCCTCCAGTCCTCTAAACCATTCGTTTTTCCGCTGTAGGGGGGAAGGAGTATCTCCTAAGCTTCTCACTATTCCATGTTATTGCATACTGGTTAACTTACGTTAGGTTAGATTATATGAATATGGCAAAGACAATTGGACTATCTGCTTAGAGGAGAGGTGCTTTCGTGGAGGAGCGTTTTAAAGGAAACTGGCTCGTATTCACGTTACACATGAGGAAATCCACAAAAAACAAACCATGCAACCATCCCGTTCGCCTGGGTTTGAACCCAGGCAAGGTTGAACTACCAGTATTCGGTCTTAATGACTCGGCCACTGCTGAGGACATTTGTCTGATTATTTACTATGTGTTTCGCCATTAGGCACTGCATGGAAAAGGAGGAATGCCCTGTGGAAAAAAAAATTGTAAGGGAAACAAGCTCTTATGTACTATGTTACACACAGGAAAAATCACGGAAATGCTCATGTAGTCAGCACATTCACATATGCTTGACCCTCGGACCGAACTACTAGTGCTCAGCGGCTTTTATTTCTCAGCCACTAATTGCATACAAAATGCGGGCTATTGCAGAAAGGAAAAATTCTTAAAAGATTATACAGAATATGGGCTATCACTCAGAGTATTCGTGCTTCCTGTCTTACTTATTTTCATACTTCCTATTTCATAATTTTAAGTTCTTACCTACCTTAACGCTATTAAAATATCACGGAATTAGTAACGAAAACTAAAATTTTACTCTGTAAGCCTTTTGTTCTGCAAATAAGTGCATTGAATCGTCATAATTTGATCTGCGGTTTGATCTTCGGTTGCCAGAATCGAGAGACTTCATAAACGCTCCTGGCTCACCGATGATCGTTGATATTTTTTAATATGTTTTAATTTGCTTAAACTTCGATCTAAACAGGTTGAAGTGTTTGTGATTTGTCCTCAAACAGTTCATCAGATTGCTTTTTGTGCTGTGGAATTTTTTGTTCGTTAGAATAGACTCAACTGCAATTTTTTCAGCTACTGTTTTAGACTCTTGTATCCAATATTCCATAGGATTTTTCTCTCATTTTTTATAATTCCTCAGTTTTGGTCAGTTCTTTCGTTAATTACACAGAACGCGGAAGACGAATTCCTTTTGAATTTCTATATTTACTCTATTGAATTCTGGAAAAATATTAGCTCAAATTTTCAGGTTAATTGTAAATTAAATTTTTCACAGCATGTACCAGATGTCTTACCTCGTGCTTTGATTCCGCATCAAGAGAAATATCTTTTAATTTCTTTAAATATTTTAATATTTCCGGTAAATTCATTAGAAAGACTTTCACAGCCACATATTTTGCCTACCATCTTGTCTGGCTGCTTCCTTTTAAGTTGTATTTTGTACATTTTTTCATAATATACCATCGAGTAGTGTATCCGACAAAAAAGCGAAGTATTTTCTGAGCAATTCCAAACAGAATTGCTGCTTCCGGGCACAAAGAAGCAGAATGCACACCGACAAGATAAAAGGAGTGATCCATACATGGTACAAATTCCTCCAGCTTATTCATTTCTGTAATCCTCTTTTGTACTGTTTTAGAAATGCCAGGCGTATTATACCCGTTGTCCTAAGACTGACACCGACATTGGCGAATATCTAAACCATCAAGTGCCAATTAAGACACTAATTTTCTACAATGCACTGAGAAATACATTCTCCTATCTTTCCAACAACATCTATGAAATCAATTAAATTTTCCTTTATCTCACATGCTACATTTTCTTTATCCCACACTTTTTTACGCAGTGAATCACCTGGTTCATTTTTTTCTGTATGAGAACATATGGAGTGCAATCGAGCATTATTGTGTAGTATTTGGCTTCTTTAATATCGTTTAAAATGCTACTTCAAACTGTTTTGCCTTTAAGTTAATAACTTCATTTTGAATTATCTTTGATAAATATGATTCCTTTACCTTTGGTGCTTTGACTCGTACTTAAGAGTTGAATTATGTTTGTCTAGCGAAGAGATTTAATTCAGAAAATTTCCTTCGCTAGGTCGAAGAACAGGCTACTTGGGATATCATCAGACACAAGAAAAGAACGACAGTTTGTTGAAAGATACAGGTACCGCATCCATGACTATATAGAATTTCTCACCATTTTCCTTTCTCTGTGTGAATGAGTCGCACAGTGTCATGATCGATGCCTTGGCACGATTTCATTTGTTGTACTCGAATTTTCCACTTAATGATGCATCTCTGCGGATGCATCCACAGAGATGCATCATTAAGTTGCATTCCAGACGCTTCGTGCTCAGTTAATTTTCCTAAAACTTTTTTTCCAATTAATGAATCCTGTAGTATGGTGTAGCGGCAGCACCATATTTCTGATAAATCTTGCAGAGTGTACAAAAAATTGCATTCTTGTTTTTAGAATATGTAAACCAAGATCTCCTAAGCTTTTCATTATTTACTAATGTTCTGTATTACATGTCAAATGTCTGCCATCACGTTCAATGGGACTGAGGTTTACGTTTTCTGAATATTTACTGGCTAATAATACTGGTTGATTGCTTAAGAAAGATTGTTGGTGATATTTTATTTTTTTCTATGACCAGCTAACTGCAGGGGTCCAACAAATCAAAATTTTTAGTTTTTCGTCTTTCTGCTCATCGCCCCCATCTAAATGAAAAGATCTTTATAAATCTTGATTCCATGTCCTCCAGTTTGATTCGTTTGATGTCGATGAAGAAGGTTGTTCTTTCAAATGCTGACTTGTAGATTGTTTGGGGATGATATAGGCAGTCATGTTTGGTCGTGCAAATTGCAATAAATATTAATACCCTCTAGAATCTCAGGATAATTGGAATTGCGGCAGAGTCTGATGGTTTACTTCTTCCGTAAAGTTATTTTTTCGTCTTAGCTGAAATTTGTTTTCTCTGTTTGTTCTTATCTTTCGCTCGTTTTCTATATTCCAATTTTCTCCCGCTCAGTGCGCAGATGGTTTCTTTCAATTTAAATGAAATTCACTATGAATTGCCTTAATAAGAATAACTAAGAATTGTCGTAATTACACTGAACAGTCCTAAATAAATGGTCGCGTCTCGATAAATATAGTGCGGGCTATTAAAAGCAAGCATATTAAAAAAAACCGAAAGAGTACAGAAGAGACCTGAAAACTAAAAAATAACCATAAGAATAATAAATCTAGCTTTAAAATCCAAAATACGCTCCACT